ACATGGTTACTGTGTGGGTTTCAGGAGGTGATGTATCAATAAAGACAATTTGGACTTAATGAAAATGTTACTTATATGAAAAAAAAATAATCAGTGACTCTGCATTGATAAACTCCTTTATACCACAAAGGTAGTTTTTTTTGTAAACCTCTTTACTATGAGTTTTTTTGTGCAGCAGCCGAGAATGGATAATCAATCACTTGCTGATGGCAGACCTTTTTCTGTCTTTGAATTTTTAATGTTACTTCAGGGCCAACAAAGTTTCTCACGCTTGAATGAGAGAGAATAAAATTAACCTACAGTAACTGGAAGATGGAAACCAAAAATGATTTATTTTTTCTTTCCTTTCTTCAAGGGTGTGATACAGCAGTTGTGTCACACGTTTACATTTAATAAAAATTATGATTAAAGAAAATGGGACAAAATCCAGGATTTTCGTAGTGCTGGAGGAATCTGTTTCTAAAGACGCTCATCTAAAAAGCTTAGAATTTGGCCGTCTCAAGCCGTATAGCAGAGAGTCCACACTAATGTTTTGTAAATGGGTTAAGTGCAGAGGTCAAATCTCATCCACAGGAATGGGGAAGAGAGGTAATTTACATTCTTTTTAATTTTTAATTTAAATTCTCTAATTTCAATGTCGCACAGTTTTATTTTTGAATTAAAAAAATGTATTTTATGAAAGAAAAAGTCACTGCAGTCTGTTCAAATAAAATATTTCTGGTTATAGCATCATTATTGTTCAGTAAATGATAATCCTGTTTGACTGTTTTTTTTTACATTTTACATTCTCAAAAACAACACTAATTTATCTGCTTAATCTTTTAAGTTTAAGATAAATGTTTTGTAAAAATCTCCTGGACAAACACACAGTTAAGGGAAAACTGACGAATCACAGCTCAAAATGGGAAAGGGCTTCCTAATGGGAGCAGTGGAAAACCATCTGTAATACTTCTCTCTTGATAAACAAATGCATTAACCTCCACCCAGCTGAAGTGCTTCACTGGCATGTAATCATGAACCATTGTTTTGCAGACATCTGTCGCACAACCCCAGGCCGGGGGTAAAGAAGAGACGTGATGGCAATGTCACAAAAAAACAAAAAACACACAACACGCTGTAATGTGAAAGCCTTCAAATTCTGGACGATAGCCGTGCCGTTATAATGCTAACAATGACTACAACAGACAGTGTGGACGTGAGGTGGAGGAGGAAATCAGTCAGGTGGAGGCAACGAATGCCCGTTAATGTTGTGTTTTTGTTTACAATCCTGTTGAAAATGAAGAAGGACGCAAGTTTGGAGGATAATTCCCCCAAAGAGCTGAGGCTCAGCGGTGGTAAAGCTGTTGGCAGCTCCACAAATAAAGAGAAGAGAATGGATCTGGGCATTGATTACTGATGACAGGTACTGCTGCCTCGCAGCCTTATGAAGTCAATTGATCAATATCAGAGAGGGGACAAGGTGTGACAAAAAATAAAAAGGCTGATCCCACGGCAGCTGAGGAAACCAGTGAGAGGGATAATGACATTTACACCCAAACATGCACACTGGTGTGTGTGTGGTTTGTTCACACCTCACATAGACACGTTCTACCACCAGGCCTCGAGCCTTAACTTCTAACGATCATATAAATGAATAACGATTTTAAAATGATCTTAATCTGACCTTAACTCTAATCCATACTCCAAACTAAATCTGGAAACTCAAAATACTCTCACCCTGCAGGGTCAAAATTAAACTGTAATTTGACCCTAAATGAATATATCAATACGTCAATAAATATGTCTCTGTATACATACAGTATATAGACATAAATATGTAGACACAAACATATATATAGATGCCCATATTGTCCATATATTATATATATAAACATATATATACAAATATATAGACACACACATATACAGTATATATTTTCATATATATACAAATATAGACACACATATACAGTATATATTTCAAAACACCCTCTCAGTGCGGGCATGCGAATATGTCCCCACAAAGACAAAGGTCCCTGCATCAATACAAATTGGTCCCCACAAGTATAGACTATATACTAATAGCACACACACATACCCACCTATTAAATCCAATCATTCACGTTGTGGTCTGCGGTGGTCATTTAAAATTCAATTAGGGAATAATAGCTTCAAAAAGTCAATCACCAACGATGAGGTGAGTTTGTTAAATATGCGGCCGTCCTTCACACCGTGATGGAACGGCACCAATCAGAACATGTACATGTTCAAAATGGGGTCTCAGACAGTTAAGAAGAATATGATGGCTGTGAAATGAGTTAAATAAAAAAAAAAAAAACATGATTCTCCTGCAGCACTATCACCGTGATGTAGCTGTACTGATAATGAAGAGCCCATATGGTCCACCCCACCTACTGAGCTACACTGTTACATCATCTGTGTAGGCATTCCTCCTACACCTCTGTCTGTCTGGATGGTTAAGTTCCCCACTGCCGTGTCATAACAAAAGAACCTTCCAGCCTTTTCTTCCCGGTGAACCTAGCGTGAGTTGTGAAGTAAACAGAAGGTTAAGGGTAAAGCCTGAGGAAACCGGTGACTGGCAGCGGGCTTTGAACCCACACAGCCTACACATGTGGAACAAACATGGCAGCAGGTCAGGAGTTCATGTTTTGTTTTTTAGTCACAACTGACTTTGTTTTTTTTTTGGTCACCTGGGGAATCGTAAACCTGCTCCGAGCCACAAAAACATTTCATTATGTAGGTATAAATAATTCATATGGATGACTGGAGAGCTCACAGAGGCCTCCCAGCACCCAGCACTGATGAAGAGACACTCAGGCCGATAATTCTCATGTAAATGATATATATTCACACCAACATTACACTCGACAAAAACCTGCATGAGAAACGAAGATCAGGACCGGACATGACCTGACAAGTTTTGTATTTTAGAACCTTAAAAAGATACAAACAAACTGAAGTTAGGTCAAGAAGTTGGAACATCAACTGTCTTCATATAAAACTGGACAGAACTGGTACTGGAAGTGATATGAATTAGAGTGATACAAATTAATTTTCAAGTACATTCCGGTCTAATTCTCTAACACGAACAAATAACAACAATTTTTCAACTCAGGAAATAAATTAAGAGGTTGACTTCAAAAAGCAGGCCATTCATATTAATAAAAAAGGACAGTTTAATTGTAATTAAATATATCAGCAAATAACACTTCCGTGAAACCGTCGTCCTCAACAACATCAATCGGTTCACAGTCCTTTGGCATCCATTTGACAATTGTGTCAGTGTTAGCTTGTTAGCTTGTCGACTTACTGACTGCCCTACGCTCAGTGAGGCTGGTCTGACACCAGCGGGTTACATGACCTGAAGTTGAAGCCTCTACAAATGCATGCTGGGAGGTGAGATGGTATCTTAAGGTCACGTTACTTCCATGAAACGAATGGATGAATGGATGGATGAAGTCTGATAATGGCCGAGCATGGAACGGATTCAGTTTTTCTTATGGGGTAAAATGATTCGAGATACGAGCACCTCGAGTTACGAGCTCGGTCCTGGAATGGATTATGCTCGATCATCTCGATGTTCCACTGTATAGTGGTTCTTTGTTTCCTTTCTGAGTGCGTCGGCAGGTTTGCCGCAGCAGCCAGGCTTCACTGCTGGACTCGTAGTAAAGCCTGCGTCTTCTGTGATGTTTTGCCGGTGATTCTTCACCACTGGTCACAGATGGAGCCTTTTATTAAAAATAATAATCAGTCTCGCGTGTGGTTCTGTCACATTTGCTGGGCTTTTTATTTTATAGCTGGTGACATGGTACATTAACCATCATTTACACCGCA